CCCTCCCAGGTGTTAGTCAAGAGACTGCACTGTCAACTTATACATATATTGTATATGTAGAAGTTACAGGCTAGAAGGGTTCGTCCTCTTGTATAACACCCAACCATATATTCCCTTGTATCCCTTGTTTCTAGTTATTCCACTACTCTGAGATGGTATCAGCTAGGTTAGGTCCGCCCACCAACTTCCGCCCTCACCTACCTCGCCCGCCCTAGCCGCTCTAGCCCCCCTAGCCCGCCCTAGCCGCACTAGCCCGCCCTAGCCATGGTAGCTCGTCCTAGCCGCAATAGCTCGCTAGCCGGCCCCTCGCTCGCTGGCCCCGCCGCGGCCCGCTGGCCCCCCCCGCTGGCCCTGCGCCCGCTGGCCCCTAGCTCGTCGGCCCCGCGCTAGCCGGCCCTGCGCTCGCTGGCCCCGCGCTCGTCGGCCCCGCACTTGCCAGCCCCACGCTCGCAACCCCGCGCTCGCCGGCCCTAGCTCGCCGGCCCCGCGCTCGCCGACCCCGTGCTCGCTGGCCCCTAGCTCACGGCCCCTAGCTCGCCGGCCCCGCGCTCGTTGACCCTGCGCTCACAGGCTCCTAGCTCGCCGACCCCACGCTCACCTGCCCCGCACTCGCTGGCCCCGCGCTCGTTGGCCCCACGCTCGCAGCCACATGCTCCGCCGACCCCCTGCTCGCCGGCCCTAGCTCGCCGGGCCCTCGCTCGCTGGCCCCGCGCTCGCTGGCCCTGCGCTCGCCGACCCCTAGCTCGCTGGCCCCTAGCTCGCCGGCCCCTTAGCTCGTCGGCCCCCCCGCTCGTTGCCCCGCGCTCGTTGGCCCCGCGCTCGTCGGCCCTGCGCTTGCCAGCCTCCGCACTCGCCGACCCCGGCGCTCACCTGCCCCTAGCTCGCCAGCCCCTTGCTAGCCGGCCCCTAGCTCGCCGGCCTCTTGCTCGCGCGGCCCCTAGCTCGCTGGCCCCTAGCTCGCCGGCCCCTAGCTCGCCGGCCCCTCACGAGCCGGCCCCTCGCTCGGCTGGCCCCTCGCTCATCGGCCCCTCGCTAGCCGACCCCTCGCTCGCCGGCCCCTTAGCTGCTGCCCCTCGCTCTCCGGCCCCAGTTCGCGCCGACCCCGGTCCCGCCGTGCCGCCGTGTTGAGCCGCCGTGCCGCTGTGGTCGCCATGACGCTGTGCCGCAGTGTCGCCGTGTCGCCGTGCCGCCCTGCCGCAGTGCCGTCGTGTCACGTGCCAATTGGTGCCACCATGTCGCCGTGACGCTGTGCTACCATGCTGCAATGTCGCTGTGTCGTCATGCCTCCGTGCCGCCGTGTCGCCGTGCCACTGTATCGCCGTGCCACCGCGCCGCAGTGCCGCCGTGTCACCGTGCCACCGTGCCGCTGAGTCGCCATGCTGCCGTGTCGTCGTCCGCCACTACAACCGTGGTGATGGCGGACGCTATCTCCGCCTGGACGCGGAGGGTCGTGCAATCGACTTTGAGCCGTGGCTCGTCGACCTTCGCCGTCAGCTGACTTTGAACCTCAAGAGGATCTGCCCCACCATATGGGACCTGGGAGAGTGTGATCGTGCGAGCGGCACGGTCGCCAGAGATTACAAGCTTAGATAGCGCCTCAGCTCCCCCAAGTCTATACAGGTGTGTCTCTTAAGCAACTCGGCCTTCACTGAGGCCTGTGCAACTCTGTCAGGAGTAGCAAAGATAAGATCGTCTACGTGCACTAAGATGTAGAACAGTGTATGACCCGTGCGAACAAAGAGAAAGGGGTCAGCAGAGGACGGAAAGAAATGCAGCTCAGCAAGAGTGGTGCGAAGCGTGTCATGCCACTCACCGGGTGTCTGACAAAGGCCGTAGACAGGATGGCGCAGGCTCCACTCTGTCCCAGGATGGAAGGACCTAGACAAGCCTAGAGGGTGCCGGAGGTAGATCTGCTCGTGCAGACTACCCTACAGGAACGTTGTGAAGAAGTCGACTGAGTGAAGCTCATAGTAACGCCTGCGCGACTATGTGGAGGAGCACCCGAAGAGTAGTCATCTTTGGGGTCGGGGAGAAGGTATGGAAAAAGTCCACACCCTCATGCTGACTGAAGCCTCTAGCCACGTAATGCGCCTTGAACTTCGGCAGCTCTCCAGGTGTGCGCTTCACCCTGTAGATCCACATGCCATCGACTACGTTTGCCCCAGGCGGGGGAACTGCATCGACGCAAGTGCCCGTGGATCTGTAGGATGCCATCTCAGCCTCCATGGCCTGTATCCACTAGGCTGCTCAGGGCCCAACACCGCCTCAGCGTACGAGCGTGAGATAGGGATGTCGAGGGCATCTGGGTCGCCCTCTGCGGATACAAGCTTGGAGCAGAGATGGGTACAGTGGCAGCAAGGTAGGCCAACTCGTACTGCCTATCCTCTAGCACGTCACTGCCAAGGGAAGATGCACCCCCGACGCATGGAGGACCGGCAGAACCAGAGACCAAGAGCGGCTGCGTAGTCAAGGTGGTGGCTAGCAGCAAAGTCATTGATAGCAGCGACAAGCACAGAGACAGTCTCATGAGGAGCAGTAGGGTCAGTGACAAGCGACGTAAGCAAGCGCGAGAGGGGAGGACGAGCAGTGAGAGCAGCGTCACAGCGAGGAGGGGGGGGACTGCGAGAGCGACGATGGAGGAGGTAACGGGAGCACGTGTACTGGAGGAGCACGAGAATGGAGAACCATATGGTGGACACGACGATGAGAGACAGGACGAGCACCAGAGGGGCGACGGACCCGGTGGGGAAGAACTGGGGAGGTGGGACGAAGCGGAACGGGGGACAAGGTAGGGGACGGAGGGGAGCACGGGGGAAAACGAGCCGGAGAGGAGTCCGGAGGAGGGAAAACAGGGTCACACATTGGAGGGGAACGGGCGGGCAGAGAGGGGAACCTGGAGCAAGACCAAGAAGACGAAGGGCAGACTGTGGCTGCTCGGGCTGCGGCTGCTGCTGCTGCGGCGACGGCTGCGGCTGCTACGGCAGATGTCGAGGTCGTGGAGCCAGAAGCCAAGGAGGGAACTAATGTAATCCTCTAGGAGCGTGCAGTCTAGGCGCGGGCTCACGAGCTGTAGAGGGTAAGCGAGAAACCGGAGAGCGGAGGGAAGTTCCTGGCGGTCTGGCCGAGGGACTGACCCTAACGAGGCCATCATGCCGAGGAGAGGCGTCGAGGAATTCTAGAAACTAGGAGGAGACTAGTGGGAGGCACTATGTGCTACAAGAGCACTAGCGGAGGAGGTAGTAGCAGTGGCGGCTATGGCCGGAGCAGTGGCAGCGAGCAGAAGGCGGGTAGCAGCAGCGGCTAGCAGTAGGATGACGGTAGTAGGAGCTAGTGCCAGTTGGTCGGCAGTGGCGGCTAGCTGCGGGGCTGGGATCGGGTGGAGGACAGCGGCTTGTGAGCAGTTGGGGGGAGGCTAGGAGCGGTTAGGAGGAGTAGGGAGCAAACGAGGAGTAAGTACGTGCAAGAGGAGCTACTAGGAGCAGCACACCGAGGAGCTAGCTAAAAGGCACTAGGACCGGTGGCACAGGACGAATGACAGTCCACAGGGCACAAGGGACTCACGAGTCTGGCGGCCGGACTGGCGACTGGCGGTTGGCGGCCGACTGCCGCTGGCGGCTGGTGGTCGGTGGCTGGCCGCGAGTGGTGGCAGTCGGCGGCTGACGGCTTAGGGTCAGCGGCTGGTCGCAGGTGGCAGCTGGAGCGGGCGGTCGGCTGCCTGGCGGCGAGCGACTGGTGCTGGCGGCTGGTGGCCAGGCTAGCCGCGGGAGTGGTGGCAGCAGCGGCTGGAGTGGCAATGGCTGCTGGTGGCAAGAGTAGCTGAAGTGGCGGCTGCAGCAGGAGCGGCTGCTGTGGGAGGTGCCGCGGCAACGGCAAGAGTGGCAGTAGCAGCGGCAGTGGTGGCAGCTAGAGAGCAATGGCGGCAGCAGCGGCTGCAGCAGCATTGGTGGCTGCAGGAGCAGCAGCTGCAGCGGCAGCCGCAGCGGGCAGTGGCGGCAGTGGCAGCTGCAAGGGCAGCGGCAGCAGCAGCGGCTTACAAGGGCAGCGACGACAGTGGCGGCTGTAAGGGCAATGGTGGCAGCGGCGGCAGTGCTGGCTGCTGGTGCTGTGGGCTGCTGGCGCTGCTGGCTGCTGGCGCTGGCTGGCGCTGGCTGCTGGCTGTTGGCTGCTGGCAGTGCGCTGTTGGCTGCTGGCGGCTGGCACTGGGCTGCTGGCTGCTGGCGCTGGTGACTGCTGGCGCTGCTGGCTGCTGGCTGCTAGCGCTGGTGGCATTGGTGAGCCAGCGCAGCTGGCTGCTGGCTGCTGGCGCTGGTTGCTGGCGCTGGCTGCTGGCTCTGGCTGGCTGCTGGCTGCGGGCACTGCTGGCGCTGGCGAGCTGGTGTGGGCTAGCTGGCATAAGCGAGCTGGCGTTGGCGAGCTGGCGCTGGTGAGCTGGGCGAGCTGGCTCACTGTGAGCTGGCTGGCGCGGCTGCTGGCAACTGCTGGCGGCCGGCTGGCGGCTGCGGGTGGCGAGCCAGAGCCGGCTGGCGAGCGCGGGCAATTGCTAGCGGTTGCTGGCTGGCGAGCACTGGCGGCGAGCTGGCTGTCGGATGCTGGCTCTGGCTGCAGTGGCAGTGGCTAACGCAGTGGCGAGCTGGCCAGTGACGAGCTGGCTGTGCTGCTGGCGAGTAGCTGGCAGCAGTTGCTGGCGGACGCTGCTGGCGGCTAGCTGGCTGGCACTGCTGGCGGTGAGCTGGCTAACGCGGCTGGCGAGCTAGCTGGCTAACGAGCTGGCTAGCTGGTAGGCGCGGTGGCTGGCGTGTTGGCGAGCGTGCTAGCTGACGTGCCAGCCTGCTGGCTGCCGTACTACAAAACAGAGCAAACGCTGGGGGGGGGGGGGGAGGTCGAGGCTATGGAGCGCAAAATTTGAGGGTAGGAGGTGCACGAAAATGAAAGTGTCACATGCATGAAAAATAAAGAAGCTACAGTAACGACGGAAGCGTGAGTAACGGTGGAAGCGTGAGTAATGACCGAAAGAAAGAAAGAAAGAAAGAAAGAAAGAAAGAAAGAAAGAAAGAAAGAAAGAAAGAAGAAGAGAAGAAGAAAGAAGAAGAAGAAAGAAGAAGAAGAAGAAGAAGAAGAAGAAGAAGAAGAAGAAGAAGAAGAAGAAGAAGAAGAAGAAGAAGAAGAAGAAGAAGAAGAAGAAGAAGAAGAAGAAAGAAGAAGAAGAAGAAGAAGAAGAAGAAGAAGAAGAAGAAGAAGAAAGAAGAAGAAGAAGAAGAAGAGAAGAAGAAGAAGAAGAAGAAGAAGAAGAAGAAGAAGAAGAAGAAGAAGAAGAAGAGAAGAAGAAGAAGAAGAAGAAGAAGAAGAGAAGAAGAAGAAGAAGAAGAAGAAGAGGCGGCGAACTCATTTTAGGGTTGCGGAGCTCCATTGTATTAAGGAAAAAAAAAAAAAAAAAAAAAAACTCGAAGTACACAACATTTAGAAGTGTACGTAAATGAAACATATTCTGTGTTTTTATAGTAGTCAAATTATGAACATGTCACGACTGCCAAGCGTGGAAACCGCCACCTAGAGCTGGTTCTTCTATTTCCATGTTTTAGATTCTTATGTTACTTTTCTGTATTGTTTATCATTATGCTATAATTCTTACTTCATCTTGTTTTCGTTTTCGTTTTAGTGTCGTCACTCTCGATACTGTGCAACATGATTTCCTTGCCCAGTGGCGAAAGTTGCCACCTGGCAGATTTGTTTCTTTGCGCCTAGTGGCGAGGCTCGTCACGCGCACAATTTTTGGCGGAAAATATTGTAGCTGTCAAGTGACGTCGAATTTGTTCTGCTCCCCGTTCGGATTTTTCTTTTCTCGTCAAAGCGCGCCGGATTTTTCAACGACGCGAATTACGAGAGCGTATTTTAACTTTCCAGTTTCATTGATTTTCACCGTTTAGTTGGTTATGGAACTGGCAATATGCGAAACAATGAATTTTCGAACTCGTAGTTCCGTAGTATTGAATGCAACACGTACAATGAATCAAATAGATAGAACACGCCCTGATAAGGTCGAAAACTAATTCACAAATTGCAATCTAGCTGGGCAGTTTCTGATGGAAAAGAAGAAAATATATGGAACTTCCTTTAGAGCTGCGAGAGCCTGGCGTTCCACCCACATTCTCCAACTTTTCTTTCTCCCTCTCACACTCAATCTCGTTTCTTCCTCCATTCCTCAATCTCACAGCTTGCTCGTCACCTCCAGCAGTTTTATTCTAGCGTTCTAGCCAAGGACATCCCATAGTTGGAATAAGTCCTCGTTTCTCTCTCAGCTTGTCGTCAACCTCCTAGTTTGATAGTCATACTAGCTTTTCCCTCCTTTCTTCCCCTAGGTCTCTCTCTTTTTATATTCCTTATTGTTTTCCTCTATTAAGTAAACATCCTCTCACTTTTCCAATATCTCTTATCTCTCTAGGTGCTCTAGCTTGTTAAGGAACCACGGGTAATCACCTTTCAACTTTATTTCAAGGTACGGATTCTACCCTCCCGCCATGCCCTTCTCCTCTGCTCTCGTCCATACCTTGTCTTCTTTCTTATTTCCTGTTTTCCTGTATTTCCCCATCATGCCTTCATTCCCTTCCCCTTCCTTCGATTTCAATTCTTCCTTTCTCCCACCATTACGGGAAATCGTTCCTTACGTTGCACTTCCTAATTCTCCATGTTTTCTTTGTTCATTGTCGTTCTCTTCATTTCCACATCCTCTTATCCAGGTTTCACATGTCTCTTATTCTGCTAACTCTTGTGATCTGGCTGCAGGTTCGAAACTTTGAACCACCCTTATTATGCATCTGCTATCGTTTTATTGCATAATGCATACTTTATCGTTTTGAATTGTTTTGGCCTTTGCTATGTGCATGCTGTCCTGTTGTTGTGTGTTGTCCATGGGCACTCGTGGTAATACATTTTGTGTGTGTCAAAAACTGGATTGCTTTTATCGTTTCGTGAAGGTTCTTTGACTCTCTCTGTAAGTGCAGTCAATTGACTTGGAATCGATAAAGTAAATCAGGTTTTGGTATTCACCAAATTTATTATTTGTGTATTATTTTAGCATTGCGCTTTAAGCTTCCCCCCCCGGCTAGAGCTGGGGAAGCGATAGCTTATTTTTGTCATCGACAAAAATATGCTACATGAATCAATGGGAGACAAATACATGCCGATTTTCTTTTGCTCGCATTCATTTGTGGAAATAGTGTAATGATAAATATTATACTACTGTAGGTCTACATTCGTGAGATCACATCTACACATCAGATTCTAGCATACTTGAATGTGAAGAGTATAGATTATTATAAATTTCTTAACCCTATTTAATTTTGTTTTTACTAAGAAATGCTGGAAATTTTTGAAAATAAATTTCCGTCCGATCGATTGCAATAGGTTGATCTGCAACCCAAAAAACTAACCTTGCTCAATACCATATTAGAGTAGCAGGAAAAGTGTGTGACTAGGAAGAGGGGAGGTGGGATACAAGTACAAAAATATTGTCCCCTCTAAGGACTGGTCTAGCTTGGCTATAACAAACATGTTGGAAATATATCGAGGACTTAAGCAATTCTGAAGTGTAACACTACACTCGAGGAAAGTCGTATCGGGTACGCGAGTCAACGGAGGTTACACGAGGAGGTTGGACGAAAGAATACGAAAGGACGAAGGGACTCGAAGGGTCACAACCGGAGGTTGCGATTGACCGTTGCGACTGCAAGGGTGGTAACCGAACCGACACTCGAGTCGCTGTGCGACTCGATAACTGTTCTTTCAATTGTATTCTACAACTGCTTCATCTCTTATTTTCTATATATTGCTGTATGCTTGTTTCTTTTCATCAATCACTTGCTCTCACATACTAGTGCAAGGGTTCAACTACTCAACACTTCCGTTGCACTACTCAAGCATTCTGTACAAGTGGGACTTAGTCTCTGAAAGGATCCAAGGGCTTTTCTCAGCCCAACATGGTATGAAAGCTGTAGAGACCAAACTCCCATCGACAACATTCTATCTACAATCAGCACATCAAAAGCTTCATCAATTACAAGTCATGGACAACAAGGGCAAGAAGTCTTCTACAAGCTCACCCAGCGCCCAAGTTACTCAGCCCGGCACCTCTGGACTACACACCTCAGGACTACAAACCGAGACCGGCACTACTCAAGAGACAACGGGAAGAGTACCAGAAATGGTGACCCCTTCACTCTCTTCAGGTGTGGATCCGAACCTTATGGAAAGGTTCTTCAGCTTCATGTCGCACGACAAGGACACCTGCGCATTCAATACAGAGCAATGGAGGAAATATGGGGTTAGCACCGATGAGCCTCGACAACTCATCATTCGGGCGGCACAACCAAGCACCTACTTTTGTGCCTTATCACTCTTCACCAGGGACGTTCGAGTTCATGCCGCCCCGTGCTCAACCGACAGCAGCTGCATCACAACAAACACCAAACGAGTTATTAAGTCTCCAGGCGCAGTTTTCACATGTAATCAAACTGTAGACATCTTCACCGTTCAACGGGCACGACTTCTTTACCTGGAGCTTTGAGTTCGAACTGCTGATGGAGGCCGTGCACCTCTTGGGATACTTCAACGGGTCCCTGCCATTTCCAAGCAATGGCACTGCAAAGGAGCAGGAAATCTTCACGTATCACTCGCTACCGGCATACACGGTCCTCCTGCGAAACATGTCACCATAAGAGCAACAGAGCATCAGAACGTATCGGAGCTACGAAAACTCCGCGGAGCTTGCCTGGCATCATCTGAAATGTCTCTATCAAGCAAACGACAGTGTGTCACAAAGCAGACTCATGCAGTAGTTGACAACAATACAAATGAAAACCGGGGAAAAGGCGATGCAGTATATGAGCCGTTGCCAGACACTTCGCGACCGCCTGCTTCGGTGCGGAGGCACAATCACTGAAGAAAGCTTCGTGACACTTGTTCTCGTCGGGCTCGGACCAGAATGGAGGACCACCCGCTTGCTTCTTCGCGCCCACGGACGAATTTCCAAGATGCACCTCTGCGCTGAGGTGCACGCTGAACAACAGGAGATGGACCTGTTTGAAGAAAGACAACCACAAAGCAAACAGCAACCACTAGTCTTCTACACTCAAAGAAGAAACGACAACAACCACAACCGCAAGACAAGCAGAACCGATACGATAGTGAAGCCGAGTACAACTACGTCATCACGTTCATCGACGCAGCAACACGATACGTCTGGCACTTCAACCTCAAGACTCGTGACCAAGCGTTCAAAGCCTTCACGACGTGGCTCCCCATCGCTGAACGAGAATCGGGCTCCCAACTCAAGAGTTTCCAGTCAGACGGGGCACTGGAGTATCAGTCACAAAGGTTCAGGAGCTACTTGGCGGAAAGAGGCATCAAATGCCTGGTGTCTCTGCCCTACACTCACCAGCAGCAGGGGGTTGCAGAGAGGATGAACCGCACCTTGCAGGCGACGTTGCGGAAGCTGCTCCTGGGGATGGGACTGCCCAACACCCTTTGGCCTGACGCGATGACGCATGCAGTCCATCTCCACAATTTGCTGTCCTCGTCATCACTTCCCAACAGCGCATCACCGCACCTGCTGTGGACAGGAAAACTGGGCAGCACAAAATTACTTCGAGTCTTCGGCTGCATGGTACACTACAGACCCCACACAGCTCGAGCAGGACGATTCTCTCCACGAGCACGGTGGGGACTACACCTCGGCATCGCAAAACATTTCCACGCATGGAAACTTCTCGACATCCAGGACAAAAACACCGTGGCTCACGTGATGTGATTTTCTACGAAAGACTGAAGCTGCAGCATTACCTGGACAATGTCGCCAACACCACAGACCCCACCGACGGCTTTGAGGGTCATCGGTCCTTCGCCGACCGTGCTGCCGAAGCTGACGGAGCAGAAGAAGACGTACTAGAAGCCTCGGAAGCTGCCGGACCACTCCCTTACTGCTCCGTGCCGTTCCACTCGACAACAATCTCGTAGTTGGATGGATGGATAGGAGTGGCGAAATCTGATTGGTTCCACCTGTTTGGGACTAGGGGAGGTGCACCAAAGTCTCTTGGTGCTTCACCACCCTCTAGGGAGGTGTACCAATGTCAACTCGCCCTTTGACCACCTCCAACCACTTTACTTGCTCCTGATTGGACCCCAACCTCAAAGGGGCCCCACAAATTCGTCACTCTAGGTTGGTGGTCAAGCACCACCCGATTTCTGCCAATCTGATTGGTCGAACTTGCCGTAGAGGCGAATTTTGACCGACGCCATTTCACTCCCACGAAATCCCACTAGACTCCCGCGAGAACTCACAACAACTCACCAAAATCTCACTAAAACACTTCTCCTCGCAGATTCTCCTGAAATCTCGTGTGAACTCTCGCTAACTTTCAAGCATATAACTCAATCATGTGAAATCCTCCCAAACGCTCGCGAAATTTCACGAGTAAATTTTGCCGCCACAAACAAACCA